TGTACATCTTGAGGGCCGCTCATTTTTTAGTTATTTATTAAAAAAAAATGGTACCGAAGTTCAATAAACGGTACAAAACCTAAAACTGGCGAATTAGATAATTGATTTTCATCATAAAGACTTTCTTAACGTACTGTATTTGTATTATAATTACGTATACGTATTATAATTACATTTACTATACCTACGAGATCTACAGGTATGTATATTTTAATATTTACAAGTAATCATCGATTTTTCTATTATATTAATATCATTTTTTGAATTTTTTTTTAATTCTAAAATATATCTTTATTATATAAAAAGTAATACATGAGTTACAAGACAAGTTTTAATCCGCCTCCTTAGAATTCCACAAAAAGATCATCAAAACGTTTACGTAGAACTTCTAGGTGGTGAAGTAATTGTAATTTTTATTTTTTAATTTTTATAAAATATATGAACAAAAAAAATGATCGGAAGTACTAAATTATTTATTGATTAAAATTTGAATTTATAATTTTAAAAATTTTTCTGAAATCGAATATTTAAGAATATTTATTTTTAGAAATATTAATATACTTTTAGAGAGAGTTCTTCTATTATTAACAGTCAATAAAATTACAATTATAAAAGAATTTTTAACTTTATAAAAATAAATTTATGTGCATGCCTATGCCTATTGAATGGTATCGTATCGCATTCTTTTTAGCATCCCAACGAAGGCGAAATGGTATAATTTTTATATGAGCAACGGTTAAACTAAAATATCGTCTACAAGGAATTCCATAAATCAGAAGTTCTTGATTCTATTTTTTACATAAATATATTTTTATTTATTTTAATTTTAATTAAGTTAATACAAATGTGATTTAATAATAAAAAAAAAATTTACGATTTATCAATTTTATCATTTATAATTATATTTTCAAAATGAAGAATAAATATACTAAATTTATTTAAATTTATTAAATATATTTAAATATAATAAAAATACAATTAAATATAACACAACATAAAATAATATTATAAAATATAAAATATAAAATAAAGTAAAATTATTTAATAATAATAATATTTAAACTAAATAATTAAAAGTTAATAATATATGATATCAAGAATGTTAATATAAAACCAATTATAATTGAATAAGTATAAGAAAAAGGTTTAAATGAGGAATTAGCAGCAGAAGAAGTTGTAAATTTAGCTTCAGTTGGTTTACTAATATCAGTACTAAGATTAGGACCAGTACTAGCAGTAGCAGTATTAATAGGAGCACTAGTAGTAGTTATGTATATTTTATCATCTAGAAAATTAAATATCAAATAAATGATCAAATAAATGTTAATAAAATATTATAAATATTAATTAAATAAAAATATCAATTATAAATAAGAATAAACAATAATATTTACCGAAAAATGTTTTTTCACATTTATTTTCAATTGTGATAACTTCTGTAGAATTAACCATTTGATTCTTAATTTCTGGATGGCTTTTTTCAAAATCCACAATAACATTTGCTATAACCTTATTACAATAAGTACAAAGTTGATCCTTAGGAGTAATTTCTGCATTGGCATAATATTTTTTTCTAGGAATTGTGTGATTCAAATTAAAGTAACAATAATTACTACTAGTATTACTACTACTATCCTTGTAACAAGCTATATCGTAAAGCATAGGATTATATGCTATTAAATCAACTATATATTGAATACTCGCATCATTATTAGCTAATTCTTGAGAACAATTATTTTTTAAGATTTGAGACATTTCATTTAAAAATGTATCAGAACATTTTGTTTCATTACAATAAGAATCAAAATCTGGAACAAGTATTTGTTGTTCTTTGTCAGTTAATTGTCCATCATCATCTTCTATATCAGGTGGAAAGCATTTAGCTAATTCGGGTGAATCTAAAACGTAATCATATGCTTCTGAACATTTTTCGGATAATGAATTATCATCAGATTGAGCTGAACTGGGTGATATTAAGGATAACGAAATTAATAATATTGAAATTAGAAGTAATTTCTTATTAAACTTTATGAATACCATTTTTTTTTTAATTTAAAGTTATTCAATTGGAAATTTGGTGAAAATTTATATTATTTAGAAATTATTTAATATATTATGTAGGTGATTATAAGGAATGATAGAGATACAGAATAAAATCAGAAAATAAATTAAATTAAAGAAGAAAAAATAACTCGAGGTGAATGGGCTTTCTTTTATAAAAATATTCAATCATATTAAATAATTCATAATAATTACATTAACGCAAGACAATCACCAATTACACGTTCTTATTTCGTTGTAAATATATTCTTCTTAACATAAATAGATCCTGAATACATTTTCAATCATTATTCTTGCATTATTATCTTCGATTGCATTAATTAAATTAATTAAATTAATTAAACTAATTACATTTTTTTTCTTATTTTGGTAAAGATATTTTATAAAATTATTGGAATTATTGTTTATTATCAATTAAAATTTTTTGTTAGACTAATTTGATCGAGAAAGGATTTCTATTTTCTATATTTCCAATATTGAATAACAATGAGATAATTTTTTATCAACATGGTACGACTGTGTAATTCAGATAATTAGTTTAGTATGATTGTGTAATTTAGATAATTAGCCGTTTATTCGATTGTATGATTAATATGTTAATTGATTTTTTTTAGTACATCAAAGAAGTCATGTTCTCATTAAATCCTTTATTAATTCATTTACAAAATACATAAATAAAAAGATTTAGATAGCAAACCCACTACCAAACTATTTATAAAAGAACTGAATATTAATAAGTCAGTAAACCGCTCAACGTTCCGCTCTATGTTAATCAAATAAAAGTGATTATTATACTAAAACTTATTACAAGTTTTCTTTACCAATAGACAAAATCTTGATATCCATCTTTAACGTCAACTCTCTTTGTACACCAAATTATAAAATTCCCAATCGTGCTACACAAATTTACGATCATTTCATTTGCTTATTCAACTCTGATAATATTAATGGTCCAAATTCCCGAATTTGTGTCATATCAACCGCGGTTCCAATGTTAAACCATTGATTCAAACCGTTCATTTATACGATTGAATCATCCGTTCAAATCGTTGGTTTATATCGAATGCCGAAAATTAGACATCTTTTCAACTTGTGTAATCGATGATCAATTTTTTAATCTTTTTAATTTTTTTTGATGTTTCGCAAGTTTTTTTTCAAAGAGAAAAAATAATAATAGAAACTTGAGTTGACCACTGGCTAAACCGCCATTGCTTTCAACCGTATTTCAAACAGTGATTTAGCCGGTGGTCCAACCTAAGTTTCAACTACAGTTGAAAACTCCAATTTGATTCAGTTTAGGGTCCAATCGATGACTTTTGAGCCAAGTCAAAACGACAATATCTCTAACATTAACTTTTCCTTCTCATTTCATAAGGATTAATTCCTTAATAATCGTTAAAAAATTCTTCTCCTTGTTACAATCACAAATTACATAAATTAAAACAAAGCAACTAGGGCAATAGATATTTCACAAATGAATGTTGTAATGTTTATTTGTTTGTTTGCATTTACACTTATAATTATTACTCGTAATTATTACTCGTAATTATTACTTGTAATTATTTTAATAAAATGTGTCTTATTAACAACTGTGCCCGTTATTATTGTAAATATGATGAACAATTTAACGGTTAATGTAGTTACATATGTGATGATGTCACACGACGCGCATTCACGTCACGTATGCGCGTCATATGTATAAAAATAAATTTGAATTTTTTTTTTTATTAATTATTATATTCTGATTATAATTTTGAAAAATTGAAAAAATTAAAAAATTTGCATTAATTAATTATAAAAATATACACCTAAAAAAATACAGTATATATGTATGTGTTCTCTAACATAAATTATTAAGAAAAAAAGAAATCTTTGCAAATTTATATTATATTTTTTATATATTATATTTATATATATTTGAATAAAGTCCTTTTTTTAAATAAATGTGTGTATTTGTGTATGTGTATGCAAAAATATAAATAATAATAAATATGAATTTATATCTTTTATATATGTATCTCTCAAGCTCTCAAATGATTTATATAATATCAAATCTCTTTGAATTTTTTGAAACTTTGTTTACTCTTTTGCTATAATAAATATAATCCGAAAATAATAAAAAATTATATTATCCAAAAATAAAACTCTTCCCTAAAAATAATAATACTGTAATAATAATAATAACGGTATAATAACATTTGATATAATTGTTGTTATAATTGTTTACACAAAAAAAAAATAAAATAAAAATAAAATAAAATAAAATATTTCTAAAAAATATAAAAAATAAATTTTTTTTTTGAACATTGTCAGCTAAATTCGTCATGAAATTTGAGAAAAAATGATTTGATCCTTTTTTTTTTTATAAAAAAGAAAAAAACTATGTACCTGACAAAGTAGTAGTAGTAAGATAAAATATAATAAATGTCTAAAAAACTAAAGAAAAAAAAAGTAATAATATATATAAATGATTTAAATATAAATATATATATATATCTATGCGAGATCCGAAATAATAATATTTTTATCCTTACAAATTTCTCTTTTTTTAAAAAAAAATCAAATAAATAATCCTTAAAAGAGGAATATTTTTTTAAAGAATTTTTAAAGAAAACTGTATTTTAAGAATATTTATAATAATATTCTATGTGAGTAATTGTTGCATAATAAAAAAAAAATTAAAAAAATTAAAAAAATTAAAAAAAAACAAATTAAAAAAAATTTAAAAAAAATTAAAAAAAAAATACAAGTAAATAAATAATAATAATATCATCAAATATTATTATTATTATTATTTTTGTTAATAATATTCAGAAAGAAATTTGTTATTATTATTATTATTATTCAATTAATATTCAGAGGAATTATTTAGAGGAAAGAGAATTATTCAGAATTTAAAGTGATAAAACTTCCCGGCCAAAATTCAGCATATAGACCTCCTTTTTGCCTCTTATTAAGATCTTGGAAATACATTTTCATATCATCTATATTACCAAAATAAAATAATACATTTTTAAGTCGACGATGTGTTTGCAATTTTTCAAGATGTTGTCTTCGTGCATTTTCTCCAGGATAAATTGTAAGATATTCGAGATTACGAAATTTCATTAATGCTCTAAAGAGTGACTATACATATATATAATATATATATATGTAAATAATTGTGCGTGTAAATATTAAGTATGTAAATAGTAATTGTTTTTTTTTTAAAAGATTAATTTTGTTTAACCATGAGATGCAAAAAAAAAAAATAAAATAAAGTAAATATCAAATATTAATCACGAGATATAAAGATTTAAAAAAAAGGAAAAAATAAAAAATAAAATAAAATAAATAAAAAATTTCGCTTACATTTCCATTTACTTCTTGATGATAAGTATGTAATTCTAATATTCTCAATTTTGGACATCGCATTGCTAAACGGTCCAATAATAAACTATCAAATCTATGTTTGTCATATGCTTCTACTTCAGTTATACAAGTGTTGCGATCATGAAATTTCAAAACTTCGAGTGTACCACGATTACGATTAGCCAAAGTGAAAAGAAATGCTGCTGTCATCTGCCAATTATATCTTCTAGAACAAAATTCTGCTGTAAAGGTAACTAGATTTTTACAATCTCTTGCAATTTTTACTAATGATGTTTGAGTTAAACTTTCACAGTGTATCAATTGAAGTTCTTGTAATTTAGGACAATGATCCGCGATAGCGGTTAAACCAACATCTGTTAAATCTTTTACATGATAAAAATGGAGTCGTTTTATTCCAGAATTTCTATTACGTGCTAATGATTCAAATGCTAAATCTGAAAATCCATTGCACCACCATAATGTAATTGATTCTAAATTTTGACAATATTGTGTAATAGGAAGGAAACTATCATCGGTAAGGCCTTCACCCAAAGAGAGACTTATCTCTCGTAATTGATTTTGATTTTGTGCCCATGTTGACATAAATAATGGAAAATTATTTCTACCAAAAATTCTTAAACTAAATACTTCTAACATTGGAAATATTGGAGCAATTGATAATGACATTTCATCATTAAGTTCCATAGAAAAAGTGAAATCAAAATGTTTAAGTTTTCTACAACCGGGTAATAATATTCTAAGTCCTTCATAACTAACCGTACGACAAATTAAAGTTTCGAGATTGGGAAATGAGGTAACAATTATTTGAGCAAGTTTTGAACCACGAATTTCCCATCTAGTTTTTAATAATACAATTCGTGGACATCTTTCACCAATACGTTGAAGTAACCATGAACATCGATCAGTATCTCCGTTACCTGGAATCTCTAAATGAGTTAATTTAGGACATGAACCTTCAGCAATTGGCATTAATGTCGTATCTAATGCTGGTTGCCAAGATGCATCAGTAGAAAATGAGATTAATCCACTAAGAGTTCTAATAAATGTTGATACATTTGTTGGTTCAAATGTTCCATGAAGACAATAAAATTCAATATGTTTGACATTCCGACAATGACTAGCAATATATTTTAATTCGCTAAATTGATATTTATCACGTCCACATCTCGGATATGGTTTAAATGCAAGTCTTTGTACCATTTTGCCATATTCAAATGTTGCATGGGTAGATCGAAGAGTACGAAGCCATCTTCTATAAGAATCATGAGTTTTCCAAATTGGTTTCTTCCAAAGTACTCTAACGATTGTCTACAATATATTAATGTATTGATTTTATTGATGAAATCATTAAAAAAAGAAAAGTATGAAAAGAAAAAAAAATATATAGATCAGCACGTGAAGGATGGGGCGTGATCCGGCCCAATTAGTAGTAGCACAAATAAAAAATAATGATCAAAAAAAAAAACTATTTTATATATATAATAATAATAATAATAAAAAAAATAAAAAAAAAAAAAAAAAAAAAAAAAAAAAAAGAATTATTCAACCATCAAAAAAAATAAACCTTTTTGTCAAAGAGATCAGAATAAGTAATTCTAGAATAAATTTTTGAAATATCTCAAGATTATTGAAACTAGGCAGTTTATAGAAAATTCTTTGATAAAATTAGCTATCAATTAACAAATTAACAATATGATAGATGGGAGGAATTAAATTATAATCCACAACAAGAATCCATTATTCCAGCTAGAGAGCTCGGCTTACCATAGCCCATAAAGAGTTGATTAAGAGGCAAGAGAATAAATCATCTTGATGATTAAACTCGGAAAAGATGAGATGTAGAAGTTCACCAGTTAATAAAACAGATTGTGCTGCTTTAATTTTCATCTTTGTTAATATATATACTTTCGTGGGTAAAAAATGAGCAGCGAAAGGACCTCCCTTTCTACTATTTTAGTGACCAGAAACACTCTTTATAACCTTTTGAGGAAATGTGTGACGGTTCACAATATATTTTGATATGGATTAGATATGGATGGATTGATGATACATATGATGATCATCAAATTCTTTACCAATCGAAGATATTTATGACTTTTAAAATTTTTAATTTAATTGGTAATCTTAGATTTTGATCCCCCACCCCTTTTTTCTCTTCATTCATAAATGTGTAAAAAAAGATGTCATGTGTTGTTCTATTTTAAATTTTAAATTTGTTTAGATTGATAGCAGATCAAACAAATTCCGATTTGTTAGTTTTGTTAGTTATCGAAGAAAATTTTTACATATAAAAATTTATAATTAAAACTCGTATCACAACATTTAAACCTTATTCATATTATAAATCAAAATGAAACTATAAAACCATCAATATTTTTATATCTCTTATAAATTATATTTATTATCATATTAAAATTATAATAACTAGGTTATAATTATGATTTATAGTAAATATTTTTATTAAATTAATATTATATTATATTAATAACTACTGTATTTAATTCTTATCATCAAAAAAGCATCTTTCAAAAATCAAAGTTAATTATCTTATGAAAATATTTACAATCACGTAAGTTAGTGATGTAGAGAAATGATAAACTACTGTATGAATTACTGTGAGAACTTTATGTATGAAGACGATTTTATAATGAAGTAAAAAATAAAATAAAATGGAATTAAATGAAATAAACTTTTTTTTTTTCTAAAATATGAAATAAAATATGAAATAAAATATGAAATTGTCTTTAAAATTTAAAAAAAAAAGATTTTTGAATTTTTTTATTTTTTCCATTTCCTAAATTACCATAAATTTCCAAACCAACCAAAATTGTCTAACCATAAAATACTAAACCAACCAAAATTATCAATTCCCAAAACCTGATACTAGTTTTCTTTATTATTATCTTCTTTTCCTTTGTTTAATAATCTTTTAAAATTAATTAATCTACTTGTGTATATTGCTTCAGGGTGCTTAGTAAAATTATTATCCAATGCTGGAATAAATTTATCCGCATTAGAAAATATATCATCAAGTATTTCAGGATCTTGAGTAATATCCCACCAATGATTAAACATATATAAAAGATCTCGAGCTTTAGGTCTTTCACTGGGATTTAATTTAAAACATTGTTGAGCTAATTCAATATAAGAAGTAGGTGTACCTTCCGCAAATTCCGGTCTCAAACCATTAATAATATCTAAAGCAAGTTTTTCATCATGAACTCGATCGACGAAAGGTGGTATTCCACAAGATAATTCAACCATAATTATACCAATAGAATAAATATCAGCTGCTTTGGTATATTGTTGTCCTAAAAGAACTTCTGGTGCGATATAAGGTAATACACCATAAAAATCTTTTGATGAAACACTTGTAGCTGGTCGAGATAATCCCAAATGAGCAAGTTTAGCTACCGTAACTCCATCTTTAATTTGTCCCATAAGAATATTTCCGGGATGTAAATTACGATGAGTATAACCTGATTCATGAATAGTAACCAAATTACCCGCAATATTACGTAACCAATATAATTTATCACTCCAACATAATTCAAGAAAATTTTTTTGAAGTAAATAACGAATATCACGACATGGTGCTAATTCAGTAACCATTAAGTAATCTTCAGTTTCGGGATGTTGAGTAAATCCAAAGAAACGAAGAAAACCATGATCATATTTTACTTCTCCATCAAACATTGGAGGGTTTGAAATACATTGATGATATACTCGCAACTACAAATTAATTATTATTAATTTAATTATTATTAATTTAATTTAAATATTATTAATTTAATTATTACTTTAATTATTATTAATTTAATTTTAGTATTAAATATAATATATTATTATTTACCTCATCGAGAAAACTTGTTGACATATCTTTCGAATTTTTAATAAGTCTCAACGCTACCGGTCTAGGTTTATCTGTTGCAGCCCAAGAAAATCGTTTTGCCATATCACACCATTCAGCCGAATAAGTAATAGAGAAACCACCTTCACCGATTTCTTTAATATTACTTAATTGTTCATAAGGAATCCAGACCAAATAAGGATCCATCCATTCACGAGTACTTCTTTGAGTTTCTTTAATAAATTTATCTAAACCGAGGTGACCGCTAGTCCATCCTTTGGTTAAACGACGTGCATCACATTTACACCAAGCATCATTATAACAAAGACGACGCCAATGTAAAAATGGATATTTACATCTTTTTCGAGTTTCGTAAGTAGTACGTGGGCGAGAGTGATTATTACCCATTTTTTTTTTTCCTTTTTTTTTATTTTATATTAATATATTAATTTATCGTCATTAGTCTTTTACTTATAATTATTAATTTTTACTATTCGTTACTAATCGTTAATAATCGTTATTAATTTGTTTTTTTTTTTGGTTTATTAATTCGTTACCAATTAAAATACAGTAAATAAATACCGAAATATATATAAATAAATAAATATATATATATAGATAAAATAATAAAATGTACAAAAAAAAATAATAATAAAATTCGGGAAATTATTTACAAATACAAATAAATGTTTGAAGATTAATGTTGTCAATATCCAAGTGTATTTTTGAATATTATTTTTGATGGGTGAAAAAAAAATAAAGGTTTAAAAATAAACAAACAAACAATTAATTTTTTAGAGTCAAGAAAAAAGATTCTTATTTTTAAAATTTTTTTAAGAAATTTCACCTATATTTATATATATTTCATTTTTAAATTTTCACATTTATCAAAATATTATTAAAATGTATATAAAATGTATAAAATGTATAATTTATTAAAAACTGTTTCACCGTGCAATGTTGTTGTGTTATATGAAATGTTTACGATTGTTAGACGAATTTATACTTGTATTCCAATTTTATCTATATTGTAGAATTTTTTAACGTATGGTAAATCCCAAGGAATGTTTCGTTATTAATATTATATTTTCCTTTAACGGATAGTTCCGGAAAGTTGCATTACATTAATTACTAACTTTATTTATCATATGATGTTTTTAATCCATTTTATTCATTTTATCCATTTTATCTGTTACAATTTTATGAGCCATCGGATTATATATACAGTATTCACACTTTTGACCCCATTTTTTGCAATTTCAATAAAATTTTTCAATAATATAATAATCTTATTATGTATCAGGATTGCCAAGATTATTTTAATGTAAATCTGGGAAGAACCTATTAAAGTTTTTGTTAGATTCTGCAGGTATTGGTCTTCCCTCTTCTTTTCGTTATTGCCAAAGTTGACGATTGAAAATAAAAAGAAGATTGGAAGGAAGAAGATTGGAGGACCCATTGGTGATCCATTTAATTGATCTATTCAGTGACAAATAATACAACACCTAAACATATTAGACATTTATGCACTAAAGGGGATCATCCACGGAATTTTTAGTATATCGGTGAGTGTGAGTAATTTATTTGTAACTATTAAAATATTTTGAAAAGAAATTGTCCACATGGTAATAGAGGTAAAAAGAAATGACAGGCGATGCAAGAATGTATTGAATATAACAATATCAGTCACACTTTTCACAACTTTATTCTTTGTGACATATAATAATTAATTTTTGCATTCTTATCTACGTTCCATTTTTAAAAATATATATAGCTAAAAATGATAAAGGAAATTGAGGTCTTCTCTCCGATAAAACTAAAAATAATATTAAATCTATTTTTGAATAAATAAAAAACCGAATCTCAGGATGTGCAACCAGACATGATTTTTAACTATAGTAATGTTTAAGTAATACATTTAGTAATATTTCCTTTTTTCTTTGTCTATTTATGTTTCGCATATCCGTTTTACCTTATATTGATACTTACACAATACGACGCAGAATGCTACTAACAAAAAAAAACTGATTTCACATGTGACATGTGCACCATTGTTGAAACAGCAAAGATTTCCCGCACCTCCGTATTTCATTTGGTGATCAAAAAGAATTAAAAGAATTGAATTTGAAAAGTTAATAATACTATTTGATATCACTGTATTTATTTAGTTACTTTCGTAAAGATAATAACAAGAATAACAAGATAATAATTTCTTAGAATTGATTAATTAATTTATTTTTGTTGAGTTAAAATTAACAATCGTCGTCTAAAAAGTTTTTTTTTTTTACACAATGAAATTAAAAGATTAAGGGTTACACTATAACTATATTTACTATATTTGAATTTAATATTATTTGACAAAGTAAAAGAAAACTGGTTTAATTCTGGTTTAGTAATAAAATAGGAACAATAATTGTATTCACAATAAAATAATAAAGACGTTATAATTTTGCACCTTTAAAAAAAATAAAAATTGTAAAATACGTTTTACAAAATGCCTACAAAACTAATTAACCTCGAAATTCATAAAATAAAAATTCGTTCCGTTCCAAAACAACTTTGGCTGGAACCTGTGAAACAAGAATCAGGAAATGAAAATGAAATATATCATAAACAACAATATGAAAAATACGAACACGAAAAACACAAACACAAACAACAACACAAAAAAAATGAATATAATAATAACAACGATAGTAATGTTCAGGGGTGGACATGCGGAAATTTAAACATTGACAAATTGATAAAAAATTCTCAACTTCAATCATCACCAAATAATAGTTTATTGGAATGGATCCCTTACAATCGTTTTTCCAACATTCAATATTTAGGACAAGGTGGATTTAGTACTGTTTATTCCGCTCTATGGAATAATCATTCACAAACTTTAAGAACTGGACCTAAAAAAGTTGCATTAAAACGACTTCATAATTCTGGAAATATTTGTCTTCAATTCTTGAATGAGGTAAATATATATATATATATATTATTAAATTTTATTATTTATTTATTTATGTATTCGATTCAGATTTCTTTTAATTAAATTAAATTTCTACCATATTTTATTAAATTCTTAGTTCGAAACATCACTTGTTTGTAGTAATCAACAAGAAATAAAAGAAATAATTAATATTTATGGAATTACACAAGATCCCGAAAGTAAAGATTATATGATTGTAATGTATCTTGCTGGACAAGGAAATTTACAATCTTATATTCGTAATAATTTTAATGATCTCACCTGGTTAAAAAAACTTGAAATCCTCTTGGACATTGCTCGGGGTATACATTCCATTCACAGATCTGGATTATGTCATAAGAATTTACATACTAGTAATTTATTTTATGACAATGGCGCAGTTTTGATTGGTGATTTGGGTCTTACGGGATATGCTAATAAAGTATGCGAATATTCTAAAGAAGCAGCGGGTATGATACAATATATGGGACCAGAAATTTTACGAGGAAAACCCTACACTAAATTTGCTGATATTTATGGATTCGCCATGATTATGTCCGAAATTGCTTCAGGTTCACCACCTTTCGTTGAAATTCCACGTGACCAAAAAATGGATTTGATATATGATATATGTGATGGATATCGACCACGTATAGTAAAGAATGTAACACCAAAATGTTTTGAAACATTAATGAAACAATGTTGGGATAATGATGAATTTAATCGTCCTAATGCACGTCAAATAGTTGATAGTTTATTAAAATGGTATAAAGAAGTTCGCGATAATAATACATCTTCAGATATTTATAAACAATTCAAGGCAGCCGATGAATATAGGCAACGAAATTTGCAAATAAAAATTCCTTTATATAAATATGACAAATATAAAAGTCAAATTGTAGAAACAACTGATCTTGGAGAGGAAGATTGCCTAGCAGATGAAAGTGGTGAATCTTCAGACGAGGGTTATTATGGATACGGTGCTGATTTTCCTGCATTACTTGTACATGAATCCGAATATGACTCTGGTAACTGAAGCAACCATTTTTTTTTTTTACACTTTATCTTTTGATTTTGATTTTTTTTATCCTTTACTTTTGACTTTATGAAATTATTTTAAATATTTATTTCATTTATTTCATTTATAGCATCTGAAGCATCCGAAGATTTAGAAGAATATGGTTAGTAAAATCTTATTATTAAATTTTTTATTAAATATCTATTATATCAATTAATAAACATCGTTTAATTTTTATCTCATAGAATACATAAATACACAAAGAAACGAACTACTTCATTCATGGCTAGATAAATTACCATAATATTTATTTTTACCTTTTTTTATTTTTTTTTTCTATGTCGATTGAATCGTTCATAGAAACTCAATTTAGATATTAAAATATATACTAATAGAAATTAATAGACATCAATATTTTGTTATTCTTGGTACTGTAATTATCAATAAAATCGAATTCTCGAATATCAAAAATGCATGGTGATTTTATTTTTTTTTTTGTTTTGTTATAAGAGATAAGAATGTTTTCTGTTTGAATATCCTAAATATCAACTTTTCCAGTATGAACACCTTGTCATGGACATCACCCAATGTTTGATAAGTTAACCGTTTTTTCTCAATGCAATGTAAAAATGGACTTCCGCTAAATAATTGAATTGCGATTTAAATAATTTTAATTAATAATTATAATAAATTAACTTTATGTTACGACAGAGAAAAAAAATACTGTCTTTTTAAATATCCGACCTTTTCTGTCTCAAATATTTTTTTGATATGGAAAGGTGCTTCCTTTTCTTCTAAAACTATAAAATTATAATTACAACATTGATTAGTTTTTATTTAGATCAATTTATTTATTAAACTTTTTTATGTAAAACGTCACTAATTATTCCATAAAACTAAAATAGATCAATATTTGTATGAATCTAAAAATATTATTGATATTGAAAAATTTTATTATTCAGATTCGTTTACATTCAATATCTCCAAGTTCATTAAACATAACTATCGATACCTACCTACCTGCTGTTGCTATCGTGCTTCTATTATCATAATTTATACCACGTGATAATGTAAAGAATTATCTGATTGTACGCTAGCGCTAGCGAGGTTACTTACCTTGAAACTATTATATCAATACATGTTATTCCGTGTCAAGTGTTCTTTGCAGTTTCCAGCCTCCTGATCAATGAATTCCAATTTATTTAATCTATTTGTATATAACTTTACAGCCATTCAGTTTGTTTCTAGTGTCTCAATCTATGTGTTTTACTGAGTTTCATTTCACCGAAGAATCGGCTGAACATCATATTTGCAAATAATGATTTCATTTTTCTAAGGATGTTAAGGATAGTATATGCATTAAAGAATGAATGCAAATTGAATGAATATGCTGATTGATTTTAATTTAAATTAGCAAAATTTAGAATTTTCAAGAAAAAGAAACTTGTTTATGTATTAAAAAATGAAGAATTATAAAAATATTGTAATATTCAAAAATCAATTTTACTGCCAAGATTGCCAATAGCAATATTAATTCATATAAATTCTATTACATACATGCTATTTGAATATAAATGTTCAAAGAATCAAACCAAATTATCTGCAAGCTTTAAATTATTGAAGACGCGAACCAATAACTTAGAGAAGAAAAATTGCGAATCAAATAAAAATATTTGTATACAAATAAAATATAAAACCCATTATACATATTTAAAATAATTTCACTTTATAAGCATGATCAGTAAAACATATTGAATTAAAACAGCGTTCGCAATTTATTATAATCTTGTTAAGAGTTGAGCGCGTAAGAAATTATGAATTACATACTTTTCTCTTATAAAAAGTGATGTAAACGAGTAAAATAAATTACTTTATATTACTCAGACGGCCAAGAATTCATATTTAACAACAAATATCAAAATTTTTGAATTAAAATTAAACCTTATTTTTATTTTTAAAATAACTTTATACAAAAAAAGTTTCTTATTTAAAAAGTTTAACATTAAATTACTTCTTGTCTTTAAAATATATTTTTGGAACTAATTTTTGACAATATTCATCATGTCATGTCATGTCTTAGAATGATCAAATTAAATTTACTAGCCAAAAATATCGGACAATAGGTTGACATGATACCTTTTTTTAACCAACGGAGCCTTGCTCCAGATACTTTATTATTTGTACAAACAGATGCATAAAATTAATTTAAAATTAATTTACCGATTGTCTTCCAAAATGGTAATATTTATTATTATTATTTTTTCCAGAAAAGGGTAGCAATGAAAATAACAAAACAATAAATTGCTATTTTAAATATTATGAAATAACTTTCGTGCAAAAATTAAGTTCCGAAAATTCGAATTTCGAGCACCTTAAACAAATTATAAACTCTTTACAATTCAACTGTTCGTTAAGGTTAATTTTTAATGGCATTCCGTGAAATAACCCTCGAAGAATCTTTCATTTGAATTATAATATCCCTCAAAAACTTTGGTTAATTTTACGTAATTCTCCGTTTGTTTATGCATTGTCTGTTAATTTATATTGTCATGTCATTCTTGATCCTACTATTATTCAAATTTCCACTCACACCAATGCTATTACCCATAAAATATTCATCGTTTGTGATAAATCCAGCTTTACAAAGACATCAAATAATGTTCCTTGAGGTTTTAAAAGATAACTAATCCATCAATTCACTTGGAAGGGATGAAATGAATGTAATATATATTACTAAATCTTTGAATGATAATATTTTCTTTACATTATATAATATTCATTATATATGTGACCAAATGCATTAATGTAATATTACTCTCTCTCTCTCTCAAGACTTTATTTCCTTTTTATGTTTTAAAGAAAATAAAAAAATTGCGATAAAAAATATAACTTTTGTTAACTCATTGTAGGGAGGATTAAAACTTGTAAAGATATAATTTGGATAATAATGAAAATAAAATTATTTAATAACGGATAATTTACATCTTTAACGTGTTTTTGTGAATAAACATATTCTCTCTCAAAATTAAATATTATATTTTTTTAAAATATTATAAATTTTATATTCTTGACTTGATCGTTGATTTAAAACAAATCAAGTTCGCTTTCCAAAAAACCTATTCAATAATGTCAAACTCAAATAATCAAAAGTAGTGATTTATTTTTGAAACATAAATCGCCTTTTTTCATTCTTTCTAACTCAATTTATCATTTTTTTCGTATTTCTTTTTTAAAAAATATTTACTTCTCTAAAAACATAAAGAAATATCATTACTAATATACTCATTCTTGAACTTTTCCACCTTTTAGGTCTAAACTTTCGAATTTTTATTTTTATTTTTTATCTAAAGATACAGCCTTCTTAAAAGAATAAAAAAATTATTCCTTTTTTTTACCTTTTTTAAAAGAAATAATTTAACCTATCATATATTCTTAACAAATAAATTTTCTTCGTCATTTTTCCACTTGCTTCACTTACTATATCTTAAAATATTTATAATTTCTATAATATTTATAATTTCTATAATATTTATCTTTTTTAAAAAAAGCAACTTTGTATTCTTTTATAATTTAAAATATACAAAAATCCCATTTTTTTTTCGTCCAGACACTTTTATTATATTAGAATTACATAATATATATTGGCATATACTCTATTAATTCCTAGGAGTTTATCATTTTAGAAAAATAAGGTATTTAATATTTATTTTATTATTTCACTTCTGCTATTTTATAATCAAATGAAACTTAAAATTATTCGACTTTTATTCTTTTATTGCTCCTCTTTTTATCAATCACATTTTCAGGTTCCCAAGATACAAGGAAATCAATGACATTTTGAAGTATTTTCTTTTCACTTAATCTTACCATTATTGCATTTTTTAATTTTTTTGAAATATTATTTTTATTCATCAGAATTTCTTCATCCGACTATTTTAATTTATTGTTAGAATTAATATATTAATAAATAAGTATATATATATATATTTTTAATTTAAGTAATATCGAATAGGAATAAATTAATTTACATTGATTGATGTCCTATATTCAAATAATCTTTTTTTCAAAAGTTCTATAAGTGGATTTTTTAACTCGGGTATCATCTTAGGCTTTGGAAATTTTCCCATCTCCTTTAAAACCTTAAATTGGACTTTATTCATCATCATTACTTTTACTTGTTATAATAATATAATAAAGTTATTAATAATAAAACAATAATAATTCCAAATCAATTCAATCAAATTACAGATAAAATAGTTACCGGTTATAATTAAATCTGGAGGAAGATTATTGCTAGTATCTAAAATAAATACACTAATATAATTAAAAATGTTTAAAGAAAAATATAATAATAAATTAATTTCATATTTGACTATTTAAGAACTGAAAGAACTGAAAAAAAAAAAGAAATATAAAAAATAATAAATTTCAAACCATACTCATCTAAAATATCTTCCTCAAGTAATAACTCCACCTGATCAAATATAAGAATGAAGAATTAATAAAATAATATTACAAAACTTTAATAAACAAAAAAATCTTACCTTTTCTTTCTTATTAGTTTCTTCTACAGACAAATTGTCAACTACAAATTGACCATTTATTTCTACTATGTCATGTATATTATTTTCATCAACAAATCCATATTTACGTAAGAGATCTATAAAAAATAAAAGATTAAATATATTTTTTTCATTAAATTCTTAAAATCACACAAAAATTAATTGATTACCTGAAGAACACAAATCTCCATAAGTGTTATACTAATAATAGTGGATTATACTTTAATAAATGAGATAATATAATATTTAAAATAATATTTATTATGACTTACTATTTGTTCACCCTTGTTTATTTTCTTTGTTGCAATCATTTGCGATAATCCTTTTTCACGAAATAAACGAGCCTGTAAAAGTAATTTAATAAATTTATTAAGTATACAGATAAAAATAAAAATAAAAATAAATAATATACAAATAATTAATTGAAACATAATAAATATTATTATAAATTTACATTATTAAAACCAGTTTTGTGATTTAACATATCAGCCATAGGAATCATCATAATTTGATTCATTTTTTCAATATCATTTTCTTCTTTATTATTTTCACTTTCTTTATCTCCTTCATCTTCTTCATCATCTTCATCTTTGTCATCATCAAAAAATGCGTATGACATTATAAGAGATCCCATTTGATGAAAAAGTTTTAAGTTATGAACGTTTTGATCAAAAAGTAATGACTTTGACTATTTATAAAAACTTTGAATATTATTCACTCACTCAAAATAATTGAGTTATAAATTTTACCCTTAATTATTTTCTTACTTGAATAAATGGAAGTAAATATTCGTTAAAAGAGTTCTCTGTGTCATCTCTTCCAATTTTTTCTATAGAAAAAAATTAAATAAGATAATTATTAACAATTCTAAATTCAAATAATTTGATTAATAATTAATTAATTGATTAATAATAATTAATAAATCATTTACCAATCAAACCAGTTCCTATTAACTCTTCAAGTTCATCTTCATTCCAAAACATGGGTGTGTTAAATTCTGTTGGTAGTATATCAAAATAAGGTTTCCATAAAGAATCTTTGCTTTGACTTTCATACATCAAACAAATTATTAATGGAAACCATTGATTAATTTTATATAGATTATTAAATTCCTTGGATGATATTTGAGATGTGAGAGATGACGTTTTTAAGGAGAAAAAAATTGAATGCGGAATTTCAAATAACATTTCATTACTCTAATAAAATAATATAATAATATAACAATCATTATTAAGATTAGTTAATTTTTTTTATATTTATTTATATCCAAACCTCGATATCTTCAAGTGCTACAATTCCTCGACCAGCGTTCTCGAAAGAATAATCTTTGAATGCAATCTTTGAAGATAGAATTCCACCATTAGAACAAAACCATTCAACAAAATTTTTATTAGTAATTTCAAAAGTTATATCTGTCATTGTAAGAAAATTGTAAGAAAAGATCTTAGCCATCGTTTTTTAAGAAAATTTCATTGGAACAAATATGTGCAAATCTTCATTGTTTCACAAAACAAGATTTGCCTTTACTGTTTAATAATTCTATTATTTATCGAGTATTCTTTGAGATTTATTTATTTTTTTTTATTTTGGTACAAAGTTTATTAAATACAGAAATTAATATTTTTAAGGCTTGCTGGCATTTACAAAGATTAATTATATTATATTCTTGAAGTTAATAACTTAGTATAATTGCTATATGTATTATTTAAAATAATATAATATCGAAAATAATTTAAATTATATTTTGTCAAGTACTTTGTTTTATCCATTTATTTATTTATGATATATTCATGTCGTGATTTTTAATAATAAAAAATGGCATTTTTTAATAAAATGAAAAATCACCGAAAAGTTGCTAAAATTTGGCATCGTAAAAATTCATATATTCAAAAAGAAATAAATGTAACAACTTTATTTACCTATCATTGACTATAATAATCTTTGTTTTAATAAATTATGTGCCTGATATTGCTTTCATTGTTTCTTTAAGAAATGAAAATATACTTTATGCCCATTTATTTTTTTTTTTTTTGATTTATTAAAATCTCAGAAACAACTTCAAGTTTATGCCTTTACTACTTTATTGTTGATGCACATAATAATAACTTGATAATAAATAATAATATTATTATTTCATTTTTTCTATCACAACCAATTAAATTTATTTTTTGCATTACATTATTATTTAATATCTCTCTCATTATCTCTCTCTCTCTTTCTCTCTATCTCCCTTTGAGCTCTTAAATATCTAACATGCCTATTTCTTTTTTTATGAACAACAACAAAAATTACAATACCAATCAAAACCGCGCTTATTCCTGTTCCAAACCCAACCAGCAAATGCTTGCAAGCGGTATTACAAAGGGGAGGAGTGAGGGGAAGATTGAGAGCGGAATTGCAAGTAGTAGTGGAGGGGTTGAAACGTGTAACCCATGTATAATTTGTTATATCATAAAGATATACTTGTTGAGAATTATACGTTTTATTATCAATGTCATATCCTAAAAATTTGATAAAATGTCATTGCTTTATAACAGAAAATGATTATTATAAAGATTGGAATTTACATACCAAATGTAATTATCATATAATTACAATATAAATTTGCAGCATGTCCATAAATCGATGGCGGATAATTCGATTTGGAACTATCTGGAATGGTCCATTCATAAGGACGTTTATTTGTATTCAGTATAGCAAGCTTAGGGTTAACACTAGTTAAATTGTATGAACAACCCCTAAATATAATAATATATCCATTTGATGCTATAAATAATATTTGTTTTAATATAAATTTTTCATGTTTCAGGAATAATAAATAATTTAGATACTTACTTAACACAGAAGTAAAAAGCCATCTTGAGTCAATTTTATCACCAGTGGCATTCTTAGAATTAAATATAAGTTATTATATTAACATTTACTTTATAAAAGTTAATATCAAATACATACCATCTGCGACCATTCGATTTTATTAGTATCGAAGAGTTTAATCTATTTGATAATAACATATTTATATTTATGAAATTATTTAAATAATTTATTGGCTTATATTTTAAAATTACTTACATTTTTCATTGCTACAAGAGGACCATCTATTTCTTGTCCACCAATATAAACAATAATTCCATTTGGTAAAATATTGGCTGAATAGTCACTACATGGTATAGGAAGATTTTTGGATATGGGCAAAGTTATCCAAGTCATCGAAGTAGTATTCAATGTATTCATATCATTAAAAAATCTCCCATCATATTTTTTATCTGTTAAATATGTGGCATTAACTCCACCAAATATATATATATTTCCTGAATTGTTAATTACTCCTCTTATTTGCTGTCTGGGAGGAATGCGATCACCTGATGGAGTCCATTTAGAAGTAAAAATATTATATGTGTAAATTTGATTTGAAAAATCATAATCAAGTGTAATTTTATTTCTCATATATCCTCCAATCAGAAATATCGTAGAATTATCTAAACTAACGATAGCAGTCGATGCCCATGTATTAATAGGAAGACTTCCTTCAGGAATTGACGTCCATGTTAAGTTGTTGCTATCAAATGAATTTGACAAATCCAAATAGAAAATACCATTTGTAGTATTAGTGAAGTCCATAAATCCACCAATTATCAAGAGGCGGTTATCATTGATTATTACACTATTATGAGAGTATCTTTCAGATGGAACAAAGCAAAAAATTGAATTAATTAATAAACTAGTGCAAAAAATGAATTTAATTAATCTAAATAGTAGCATATTTTAACACTTTAAGTTCATAAATAAACAATAAAAAAAATTTTTTTTTTATTAAACCATTATCATATAAATCGTTTACTGTAACAAGAAAAATTTGTACTATCAAAATAGTGGTAAAAAGGAAATGAATGAATGCAAATTTTTCATTTTTACATGAATTTTCGTTCGTTTTAATTTAATATCTAACCGCTGAGCTATTCTAAGATTTTTTATGAAAAATAAAAATTGCAAATAACTTATAACCTGACCTGAAATTGTTTATGTAGCTTCAAAGACCTTATGTAATAAAAGGCAAGTCATCTATTAAATCAAGTGCTTTTCAAGCTATTGCATTACAATTTAATTAGTTAAAGTAGTTAATCGAATTTAGTAATCATAGAAATAAAATACTGTAGACCTTAGAATATACAGTAGAACCTGTCTATAAGCCACAAGATTTACATAAAGTCGAGCGTAACCTGTTAAACATAGAATTTTCTTGGCCCAAGGGTATGCTTATAGACAGGTTCTACTGTACTTAATAAACTTGTACAGACAATTCTCTATAAATGCATTCTCCTGGGACCAGAATTAACGTGCATTTGTAGAGGTTATTTTATAAGTTTTATTAGCGGAAGGGACTGGAGTATAAGGTGCATTTAAAGAGAGAATTCCCTTATAGAGGGTGAATTTATAGAGTTGACTGTAGTACTAATCTGTATATAAAATAATACATAAGAATAGGAAAGAGAGGAACTAGACTATTTTTCTTGTACTTTTGGCAGTAAGAACCTAATAAAGGCATACTTTCTTAAACAAATCCCTAAAGTGTCTAATATAATATACTTCTAAGTATCCAAATTATATTATATTTTTAATTTTATCATTAATTAATTCAAAAGGCAATTATTTTATCAGCAATTATTTTATTATGATTATGATATATTTTATTAGAATAAATATTAAAAATATTTTTAATTTTTTTTAAGCTTAACTATTTTTGCGAACTTAAGAAATAACAAATGTTCATTAGTTGAGTATTCCTAAACCAACATCGCATCAAATTTGGATTTTTACATTAAAAGTTAATACAATTACATAAAATAAAATAAAATGATATGAAAATAATTCATAAAAAGATAATTTAAAATGTTTTATAATTTATAAATATATGAATTTATGTCTTAATTTAATTCATTTTTGATTGCTGAAGATTGTTCGTTTTGAGATTTTTGTCTAATCATGTGAGTAATAACACATAATGTAATCAAAATGAAAGAAACCAAAACCCTAAAAACCACTGTTGTCCCAAGCCCAATGGCCAAAGATATTGATGAATTTTTTGTAGGTAAAGTTCCAATAGGAGTCATTGTAGGATATTCAGAAGCTTTCATAATACTTGTACTAGTCGGTGCTTGGACAAACGGAATAGTTTTACTGGCAGTTGGCTTAAAACTTGTAACCCATGTGTTATTTTTTATGTCATAAAGATACACTTGAGAATTATATGTTTTATTATCTATGTTATATCCTAAAAAAAAAAAAATCAAAAATGACATTATTATAATAAAAAATGATTACTGTATTGAAATCTATTTTCTTACCAAATGTTATTATCATATAATCATAATATAAATTTGCAGTATGTCCATAAATCGATGGCGGATAATTCGATTTGGAACTATCTGGAATGGTCCATTCATAAGGACGTTTATTTGTATTCAGTATAGCAAGCTTAGGACTAACAATAGTTAAATCATCTGTACAACCCCCATATATGAAAATATATCCATCTGGTGCTATAGAAAAATATTTATTTTAATATAGATTTTTTATGTTTTGGAAATGGTAAACAATTCGGACACTTACTTAACACAGAAGAAAAATATATTCTTGGGTCAATTTTATCACCAGTGGTATTCTTAGAATTGAATGGAACAATAGGTTGGGTTATTATATTATATATTACATTTATTTTATAAATTAACATCAAAAATTTATACCATCTGTAACCATTCATGTGTATTTATATCAAAGAGTTTAATCTATTCGAGAATAATAAAGAATTACATATTACATTTTAATATTTCTAAAAAAAAAATTGGTAATTTATTATATTCAAATTGCTTACATATTTCATATTTACAAGAGTGAAATTCGCATTATCACCAATTGCTTCTATTCCGCCAATATAAACAATAATTCCATTTGATAAAAGATCAGCTGTATATAGAGCACGAATAGGAATAGGAGTATTTTCAGATATGTATAAAGTTGTCCAAGTATTTGAAACAGTATCGAATATATTCATATCATTGTAAAGATCTCCTGTATTGTTTGTAAAATTAGTGGTATTAAATCCACCAAATATATATATTATTCCCGAATTATCAATTACTCCTGTTATATTTTGTCTAGGAGGAATTACATCGCCGCTAAGTACTGGCGTAGACCATGTAGAAGCAGAATAATTGTATGCATAAACTAGATTTGAGTAATCATAATCATTTGTACTTTTATTTATCATGTATCCTCCAATTAGATAAATTATAGAATTATCTAAACTTAATACAGCAGTTGACTGATATGTATATACAGGAATACTTCCTCTAGGAATTAAAATCCACGTTAAGTTGTTATTAATATCAAATGGCTCTGACAAATCCAAATAGAATAATTCAGTTGTAATAATGGTTGAATTAAGCAATCCGCCAAATATTAAGAGTCTATCGTTAATTATTACACTATTATGTTCACTTCTTTTAGGTGGGTCATAGCATAAAACTAAATTAATTAATAATAAAGTGAAAAAAACAAACTTAAATAATTTGAATGGGAGATACATGTTAATGAATTTTTTTTTTTCTTAACGGAGTTCCGTTTATTTGTGTTTAATGCAACAGCAATATACATATGTGATACGTTACGTAAAATTTTGTAATTATTCTTTTCAGCAAATATAAATATAATACTGAAATTATGATGATATTTCAACAATTAGAATTCATTTTTAGTCATTTAACGAAGAATAAAAATTCCACACTTAATCCTTTTCAAAACCTATCCTGCAATTGGGAAGTAGCAGGGGTTTAAAAAGTGTAACTCACGTACATATTATTTGCTATACTAATGTCATACCTTAAAATTTTGATTACTGTAAATATTGGAATTTACATACCAACTGTAATATCATATGATATTTGAGCAAACACCCAAATATAATAATATAAATTTTTTATGTGGGAATAATAAATAATTTAGATACTTAACACAGAAGTTAAAAGCCATCTTGAGTCGATTATTCACCAATAGCATTCTTATAAGTTAGTATATTAACATTTACTTTATAAAAGTTAATATCAAATACTATACATACCATTCGGTTTTATTAGATCGAAGAGTTAAAGGGCTTATCACGATCGTTGTTTTGATTGGTCCACTCACCTTATATTCAATGTGCGGAATGCACTGCACATGATATAAAAAGTAAATTTTCTAAAGAGCGTCCTTATTCTGGACCCCTGGTTCAGGGTGAAATTTATGAACCCCCGGGGGGTCTAGAATAAATGACCTAAACCCTGGGGTCTAGTTTAAGTTTTCTCTTTTCTAAAACTATGCAATACTTGTAAATTTAAATCAAATATTTTTATTTTAATTAAACATTATTATTTCCCTCTTCAATAAAAGCATTAACTAATACTTCAGGATCATAATTAAGAAGTATTTACATTATTTTCATTATTGGTATCAGATACATTATTTGTTATAGGTAAGGAAATATTATTTTGAATTAAAAGATAAAATTAATCAGAATTAGAATGGATGTAACCAGCATTAAATGTTGATATATTTTCTTGACTATTATTATAAAATGAAGTATTTTCGTCTGAACTCTCTTCTCTCTCTTTTAATATATTCATATTGTAAATAGATAGATAATCAATATAAAAAATTGTAGTCGCGCGCAAAGTTTTTTTTAAGATTAAAGATGGTGTTACATATGACATATCATTCTACAGTTATTTTTTTTTTTTGATAGACATTTTTACGACTAATATACATTTCTCACGTGATATATATGGAATATTAAAACACATATCCATTGAATAATTAGGTGCGCACGTTACTTAAAGTATCAAAAAAATAACTACAGTATAAATGCACCCTCTGTAAGGCGTACCCCTCTATAAATACACCCTATACTCGAGTCTTTTCTACTAATAACACTTATAAAATTTCCCTCTATAAATGCACCCTAATTCTGATTCCTGGGGCATTTATAGAGGTTAACTGTATTGGTATATCAAAAAAATAACCATAGGTCTATCAAAAAACGATACTTTTACCTCTATACGTATTTCCGTAACCCTGAGTTAGTCATATGTCTGCACCCTACTGACAACTCATCAACGTGCATTTTGAATCTATTGCCAGTTTAGCAATAAAGATCTTTAGTTATTAGTCAAAGGTGTACTCTATTAATTTTACTTGAGAATAATGACAAACAATATTTGTACAACAGATTGTTGGTCACAACGCTATAATTTCTGCAAATCTATCTCAAAAATTTTGTAACATAAATAATAAATGATAATTTAGAAATACAGTATTGATATTATTATAATTTTAATTTTGAAACTTCCTCGGGATCGAAATCAATTCTATGAAATTTAATAAAAATTAATTAATAAATTATAAATTATAAAAATTAATAAAATATTATTAAAAAGATTTACCTTAATCCAATAACTTTCTTTGCTTCGGTAACAGTCAATCTCCAAGTGATAGTATTTGAGGATTTTGTAGTGCTACCCCAATAATCGTGAATTTCAGAGAGCTAAAAAATAAATATGAATTAATTTAAATTATCTAAATAATTTAATAATAATAATAATAATAATAATAATTGTAACTTACTGATTCTAAATTTAATAACATTGATATTTGATTCAATCTAGTAAACCTATCTCTAAATGGCCATTGCATCTTTGTAGAAAAATAATTGGTTACAGCTCTTAAATCTTTATCGAATCGTAAAGATCCAAACTATTAAAATATTAAAATATATAGTTAATCTTTATTATAAAAATAAATGTAATCAAATATAAATATAATATATAAAATAATAATAATAATAATAATAATAATTACCTGATTGAATTTAGTTCCAAATACAGTTTTTTCCCACATACTAGTTACAGATTCCAATATATACATCATCATTTGATTATAATTATTCTCTGAGAACGTTGACTAGAAATATAATGAATAGTAATAATAATGTTAATAATAATAACAATAATAAACAATTTTAATATAATAAATAATATAATTAGTACCTGATAAATTTGAACGAGAGAATCAAAACCCAATACAACTCGTTTAGCAAATCCATCATTTGCTTCTTGTTCATGATATTCATATTCATTAAGCACATATTTGATATCCTTATAAGCATCTTGTAATATTGGTCGAATCCGTGGTTTTACAATTTGCGCAAAAAGCTGTTCAATTCCACTCTAATTAAAAATTTAATAAATATAATTGATAAAATATAAATACAATTAATATAATTGATAAGAATATAATTAATCAAATATAATTAATTAAATAATAAAATACCATTAAAATCTGCTTAAATTTATTAGTTGTATTAGTATTTAACCATGAAAAACATTTTTGAGCCTTTTCTGAATTATCGTTATTGATGGGTGATGATAATGCTAAAAGTTCAGATATAAGTTGTCGCATGTATTCCGCACTCACATCCAAATTATTAAGTAAAATCTAGTGAATAATAAATTTATAAAATAAAATTTATAAATAGTTGAGAAGAAATTGTCATGATAAATTTAGAATAAATAAATTACCATATAACCAATTTTTGAATCTTTTGGTTCAGTTGTAGCGAAAGCCGTTAAAAGTCTCTTTTGGAACATTGTGATATAATCAACTTCTAAACTGTGATTGATTAAATTTACCATCGTAGTCAAACATTCAATATCTGAAGTTGAAATTATTCGAGTAAGGCATTCTCTAAGTATATAAAAAACATCACCAACACAACTAGACGTAATATTTCCTTCTTCATATTTATCAATTTTCATGGCCTTTAATAATTAATGTAATTTTAATATTATAATAACAATAAAAAATTAAAATAATTAATAATAATTAAATAATTTATAACAATTAATAAAAATTAATATAATTAAATATAAAAAATTAAATATAAAAATATACAATTTTAATAAAATTATTAATGATTATTATAATTAAAATATTCAATAATAAATTAATTAATCACCTTTTCGATCGCTTTCCTAAAGAAATATTCTTCCATAACAAGGAAATCACCCATTAAAGACTTTAATTGTTTTGATAAACCACTGATTCGTATTATTTCTGTTGGATCATAATTATCAATATCTTTGCCAATTAAAGAAACATCAACATCTTTTTTTGATTGATTTAATTTCATTGCTTCAATTTCTGACTGAATTAATTAATAATAAAATAATTAATAATGGATAGAATTAATTAATAAACTAACTTAATTAATAAACTAACCTTTGCACTTGCTTCTATAAATTGGTAATAAAGATGAGTCCTTGCACTAATCATTGCTAATTCATTTAATATAATATCGAGTTCTCTTGGATCTGGCATATTATCAATATCTCTTGGTTGTCCTGGACGTTGAGGTCCAAGTGGCTTTTTAGGCGTGGAATTATATATTTTAATATCTGATACCTAGAAGATTAATATTAATTAATTTATATAATTTAATTTAATTTAACTTAATTTAATATAAATAATTAATTTAATTTAATTACTTTTCGATGCACTTGTCTTTCATCACAAAAAATATCTAATATTATTCTACTTTGTTTATCGCATTCTTCTTGAAGTCTTTCAATTACTCTAATCATTTTACCTTGTCCATAATGCGTTTCAACTACTAATTGATGTTGACTAATAATTGTTGCAATATTTTCATATAATTTAAGAAGAGCATATCCATAAAAATTAGTTCCCACCGCTAATTAATTATTATTAATAACAATTAATAATATTAAATATATATTTATATTAAATATTAAATAATTAAATATTAAATAAAAAAATAATATATAATAAAAATAATATATAATAATAATAAAAATAAAAAAAAAAATATATATATATATTTTCTTACCAATTTCTGCCAAATTTTCTTGATTCTTTCCAGAAATAATACTACAAACAAATTTTGAATATTTATCTAATCCTTCAGTTTCTTTTCCTAGTAAAGGAAATAATCTAAAAAATCGACTTATATTATTTTCATCTTTAACTTTAACCGCTAAATCAAATTCTTTAGAAAATATTTCAAATAAATTCCCTTTGGCATCTGATAAAGTCTTTGTTGGAATATCCGGATATTCTGATGATGGAACTGCAATTTCTGCAAATTCCCCATTTAATATTTTGGGATCTAATATTGATGCTCTATTTATATATGATGCGGCTGATTCATAATCCTTAATATAAATTGCTTGATGAACTCCCATTATACATTGTTTAAGTTCTTGTACATCTTCTACTTGTTTAATGGTTTGTTGAACTCGTGATTGTTCTAAATCTAATTGTCTAACTTGTGCACTTATTCTTTCTGCTACATTAGATGTACCATTAATAATATTTAACAAATCGGCTGCTTGTGAATGAAGCGTTCCTAATTGTGGTCTTTTATTATTGTTTTTATTATTATTATTATTATTATTATTTAAAATATTAATTTGAAATTAAATTAATTTAATTTAATTAATCAACAGTAAAATTATTAAAATTATTAAAAATTATATTTATACCTAAGAACCTTTAATTTATCCAATTCATTTTCAAGTTGTGGTCTTTTATCTAATATTTCATCTAAATTAAGGTCAACTTGGTTTTCTTCTAAATCTAAAATTCTCAAGCATTCTTGAATATCTTCAATATTTGTTAACGACTTTAAATAAGATAATGAAAGTTCTGAAGGATTAGGTCTTGTAGTAGTTGGCATACTTAATAATAGAATAAAGTATAAAAAATATAATTATGTATAGAAGACAATAATTATAACAATAATTACAATTAATTAATTACAATTAATTAAATTAATTACTTTCGGGAGAATTTCCCGAACAGTTGAGAAACAGGTCGTTAATTTATATATAAATTTAGTTACAGTCTATAATATCTTATCTTTTGTATATGCGTTACATAATAAAGTATAGTTGGCTTTAAAAAAACAACAATTACAAATAGTACAATTGATTTAATTAACAGGTATTACTGGTGATTACTGGTTTGATGAAGTTGATTATGTATTATTTTTTAGCCTCGTGACACTAAAAATTTCATCATAAATCAGTCACGAAAAAAATCAAAATAATCAAAATAAAAATAAAAACTTTAATCTTTTTTCATGTAAATATTGAAAGTATATAAAAAGATTATCATAAAAACTTTCTTCCAAGATAATTATTCATTTCTAATTTTTTAACAAAAAACATCATGTTCGTCGAGATAAATGCTAAAGCTTTAACGATCACATATTCGGATTGTACTGGTATCAATGAAGTTCCTGAACAAATTGGACCCGTTATAGATGAAAATGAAAATATTCATTATATGACTAGAGTTCAAAATAATGATCCTATTGCCCAAAGTTGGTTGAAAAGTTTAGGACAAGGTTTAGCAAAACACTTGGTTGATAATTATAAAGTTAACGCGGATAAAAGTAAATACAAATAATTATAATATACATATATATATATATATATATATTAATAATAAAATTTGTTAATAAATATTTAATAATTAAAATAATTAAAAAAATAATAATATCTAATAATAAAAATAATCATAATAATTAAAATATAGAACGATCAATATTGACAGATTTTCCAGAAGGATATTTATTATTTAAACACGAAAAGGTATTTAGAGATAAGGAACAATCAGTAGCTAACTATTACCTATTTGGTAACTTAAATTTTTTTTTTTAATATATTTTTTTTTATCGGTCTCGTGAACTGAACTTTCGTGAAATTAAATTAAATCTTTACATTTAAATAGGAAATTTTAGATATAAATCCATTAATTCATTTTTGCCACATTTATTTTGGTTGATATCAAATAAATCACGAAATTGTAAATGTCATTTTTGTATATCCAACAAAATTGAAGAAAATATTGAAAAAGAAATTGCCGAAAGGAAAAATGTGAATTTAAAAAGTATTAAGAATAATAATGACTACGATAATGTAAATAATATTAATTATGATAAATTGGAACTCTTTAATTTCGAAACGAAACGAAATACGACAATGTATAGATGCGGAGAAATTGTTTGGGTTGATATTAAAAAGTTAAATAATGAAAAATTAACTCAATTAGTGGAATCAGCAACGAGACCAATATCAACAGAAATAACATCAGCTGCACAAGCGATATCGATGAAATCGGAAACGTCAGCTACGCAAGCGATATTGATGAAACCAGAAACATCAGCAATATCAGAAACATCAACATTATTAGAAACATCAACATCAGCGACATCAACAACATCTACATCAACAACATCAGCGGCATCAACAACATTAACTACTCCCGAAACACCCGGTACACCTAATACAACCGCATCTGATACACCCGATACGATGGATATTAGATATTGGCCAGGGATTGTATTAGATCGTATAAAATGTTCTGACCTCAATTATTCAACAACATCAACTACCTCAGGTGATAGTTCGGATACCTCTATGGAAATTGATACTCCGAATACTTCGTTTTCACTTGAATCTTCAGGATCACCTAATAAAAATAGTGAAAAAAGTAAAGATTATATTCCCTCGCCAATGGATTTACCCGAATGTTATGTATTAATTCCTAATACGAAATTTTCGAAAGAACTTCCCATACCTGTCAATAATTCATCAAGCCTTCACGAAGATGAATTTCCAATATTAGATCCTTATTCACCAATAGATACATATTCCACAAAACGTTGTAAAGTTATCTATGTGATTGAATTATTAGAAATATGTGAAAGATTGGAAATAAGTAGTAATAATTTATTTCCATGGCCATTACATCAACCTGGTATTTTGGGAGATGATTATTTGAATTACGATACGGGTAAATTATTTAATTATTTAATTATTTAATTTGATTAAACAATAAAATAATTTATTTATTTATTTATTTATTTATTTATTTATTTGTTTGTTTATTTATTTATTTTATTTATAGATAAAGAAGATGAAGATGATGAAGATGAAGATGAAGATTGTGAATGTGATTATGATGAAATTAATGACTCACAATTATTACAATTAAATAAATATACTAAAGCTCTTAATGAAGCAAATATACTCTCTCAAACATTTACTACATTAAATGCTTATCAAGAAGATATAGTAGATTATAATGTAGTGATAGAAATGTTAAAACCCAATGAAAGAAGAAGATTAAAAGAAAAAGTTATTTATTTTGAAGCGGTATTATTTGGTAACGAATTATTTTGTAATGGAGATATAATACGATTAACTCCATGTGATGAAAATCCTACTTATGAAGATTATCCGGATCCTAAATATTTATATTTAAAGGACATTTGTGAAACGAACGATGGAATTCAAATAATTGGAGATGGATTAATTCGTCGAAAATTAATTACCGAAAAAAATGGTAAACCAAATTACGAATGGTATAGAATTAATTTACCTGAAGAAGAATATAAAATAGATTTAGGAGATGTGGCAGGAAGATATTATGTGGATTTTCCTGATCTGGAAAGAATTATGTATTGTTCACGTACAAAGACGTTTAAAGAACGTTGGAGGAGTCAAAATTTCTATAACACCATAATGAATACGATGAATGTTTCTCCGACAGTTTAACAATTTTTTAAGTTCGTTCACAAATTTAAGTTCTAATTCTAGTAGTAATAGTAATAGTAGTAATAGTAGTAGTAGTAGTAGTAGTTAATAGTACTAGTAGTAGTATATAATCTTTTATATATATATTATATATATTATATATGTATTCTTTCATACCCTCATATTATTTTCTTGAATATTCCCGTTATTATTTCTTTTTCATTATTACATTTACGATTCTGTACTTTGGATTATAATAAAATAAAATAAAAAATACTTAAAATTGTAATATAAATGATATCTTGTAAATTTTTATTTTATTTTTATTATTATTTTTTTTTTGTTTCACGCAAATGAAATATTTTAATAAATGTATTAATAATTGTATTAATAAATGTAAGAATAAATGTAAGAATAAAATAATAATAATGAAGTATACCGAATTATAATAATAACGAAATATATGCTTTTATACGTTTCTACTGTTATCTATCTTATTATATTTAAAATAAAATATAATAATTTATTTCCGAATTATTTTAAATATTAAAATATTAAAATATAAATATCGAAAATAAAAAATATTTATAAGAAAAAAAAATATATATGCAAGAATGCGTATATATTATTATTACTTTGTGCCGGTGTCCATTGTGCGCATGTAAAATTGATCTTAGTGCGTCATCTACAAAAAAAGTTAAAATAAACTATAACGGATAAAGACGCAATTAAAAAAAAAAAAAAAGTTAAAATAAACTAAAAGATTAAAAAAAACTTGTATATATATTTTTTAATTTGTTTGATAGGTCGCACAAAAAACGGTTAATTATCGTTCATATTATCCCCAACAAAAAATTGTTGAAATATTAAACAATATATTTTTATAATTTTTTTTTTTTTTGAAAAGTGAGAACCAGTCCAGTGTTTAGAATTCAATAATTCAATGTGCTTGCACAAAATTTGAAAAAACTTTGAACCTTAAAAAAAAAAATAAATAAATATAAAATTAAATAAAATTTCAGATTGAAAAAAATTGTTTCATCGATGAAATACAAAATATATGACATCATCTTTTATCATTATTTACCTAATTTATAATAATTTTTCTTGAATAAAGAAGAAGGAACAAATAACAAACAATGATCATCAAAATAAAAATATACTGTGATTATCTAATTAAAGATGCTGATAATTTCTTATTTGGATGTTTATTTGTTTTATAGGTTCGCAGTTCATTTATTATTATTAATTATAATTATCAGGCATTACATCAATTATTATTTTTTTGGTTTTCTTTGTTTTGTTTTTTTTTGATACCCTTAAGCATTATTTATGGTTCTCCACGCCGAGACTTTTAAATACGGTACCTGTACATAAATTAAATTACGGAGATCGAGCAATTTTTTGTATATTGTTCTTTTTGTATTTCTTTGTAATTTTTTCATTCGTGATACAAATGAATCTTGCACAGCATTGTTGTTTTCGATATTTCAGAAATATTTCAAAAAGATATTTTCAAAGATATATTGGTGATAATAGTGAAAATATCATAATTCATAAATACTTATAATCAAATTATTTGAAACAAGACAACAATAATTATAATAAATTAAGCAATAAAATATAATTTAAATATAACTTAAATGAAGCTAAACTGTGACAAAAATTAACAATTGTAACAATTACATTCTTAAATTCTTTTAATCGAATCACAAACTTCAGATTACTATAATCTTAAGGATAAACGCTGTGTTATATAATACTGTCATAACGCACGCTAGTAAAAAAAAAATAAATAAAATTAAATTCAAAATGCAAATATTTTTTATTTATTTATTTATTTAATTGTAAAGTACAGTACAATACAGTACAAGTATATTTTAATTATATCGATATTTCACATTTTTTTATATAAATATCAATATTTTCATCAATTGATTGTTTATTATTAATATTCGGGAATAAATTTCGAAAAATATAAATTGTATTTATTGTTTGTACAATTATACTTACATTGCATTAAAAAAAGCAGGGATTACATTATGTAATACCGTTTTATAATTGTGTAATGCATTATTGAAATGAGGAGAAAAAGAATGAAATTGGCATCATATAAGCAAAATGTAAAATTCAACAAAAAAAAAATATAGATGTATATATTTTTATATAGAAAAATAAACAAAGATTTTTTAAATTCCTCGCGTGAGTGCTATTAGTAATACATAATAAATATAAATGAGGTTAATAATGTAAGAGTATTGTATAAAAATGTATATAATTTGATAATGGTCTAACTATATTTAAAATTAATTAAAGTAAATGAATTAAATGAATCCTGATTCGTCATGCATCAAAAAGTACAATGAATGTAATGGAAGTACACAACATATATAAATTCAAAAAAAAACGCGCACACAAAAAAAATATATATAAATATAAAGAATGTCGTAGCTTTTATTTTTTTTTTTTTTTCTTCTTCAGTCAAATTTTTCTCTTTTCGTTGTCTCTTCCTGACCTTCAATATTTAAAATTCGAAAGACAATCTTCATTTTCTAAAATAAAATTGTTTTGTATAGTAAAAATAAATATAAAAAAAATATATATATATAAAATAAATATATATTAATAAATAAACTGTATATAAATATAAACTCAAAGAAACATGCATATAGATTGTGCATAAGTTTTCTTTCTTTTTTAGATCTATTACTTTTCACTTTATTAAAATTTCGAGAAGGAATTCATATAATATAGATAAATATTTTAAATTATCTATTTTAAAATTATATATTTTTTATATTTTAAATTTTAATTTCATATTACACATTTTATATTATATGTTATATATTTAATATTATATATTTAATATTATATATACATATATATATATACAATACACGCATAAAATATAAAATATATATATAAATACAATTAAAAAATGTTTCGATCAACAAATGAAAATAGTTATGATAACAAAAATTCTTCAGGAAAGAATACAATCTCTATCTCTTCATCGCGTATATCCAATTACATAACTTCAATACGAACACAAACATATTCTACCAAATCCGTCGATTATAACGACATTAATAATGATAATGATAATAATAAAAAAGGCAAAGAAGTTCAAGTCAAGAAACGAAGTGCAGGTGGAAACTTGAGAAGAAGATGGAGTAGCCAGAAACGAAAGAAGCATGAAATTGAACAAATGGTTAGTTTGGGTGAAGCTAACTTAATTATTAAATTATGCGTCGAGGAGATAACATCAAGAGGTGAATAAATTAAATATAAATTAAATAATTAAAATTAAATATTAGAATAATTAAAATAATTAAAATAATTAAAATAATTAAAATAAAATAAAATAATTAATATCTTTTATTTTTTTTCTAAAAAAAAATAAAAATTAATAGGATTAAACGAATTTGACATCTTTCGTCCAGTAAGAAATAATGATAGTGAGGTCAGGTACCTTATAAATTGTTTATTAAGTGATGATGTTAAAGAATTCGCGGATGAGTTGAGAAGTCAAAGTATTAATAATATCATAGCTGGTATCCGTTACACTCTTCGTAATTGTTCTCAACCTATAATAACTTATGAAAATTACGAAGAATTTGTTCGTATTGAAAAAGGTAAATAATAATTATTATTACAATTATTGTTTTTATTATTTTATTATTATCGTAAAAAAAAAATAAATTATTAACGAAAAATAAATTTTATATTTAAATTATATTTAAATATTTATATTATAGAATTAAATTATGATCCGCAAAAAGGAATTTTTTCCAAGTTTCTGATGACCCTTTCATCTCATTATGTTCAAAACACTTTAACAAATCTTTTCAATTTATTCTCAAAATTAATGCTTCATTCTCATGAAAATAAAATTCCTACTCATCGTATTATAAAATCAATGTCACTATGTATTTTAGCAGCTGATAAAAATTATCAAACCCTCAAACATCAAAATTATCAAACTTATCAAGATTTTAATATTGTTTATTGTGATTGGTTAAAATATTCAGACGCATGTATGCACATGTTTTTAGCTTTTTTGAGGGAAAACGCGTGTAAATATCCTTTACCTTCTAGATTAAATATGTTATTAGATGGTTATGTGGATTTTCGTAGTCGTGCAGAAAGTTTCAATAATGAAACATTTTATCATCATCCATTAGCTGATATTACAATTGCAGATTTAGATATGATTATTCGACCACGTAGACAACTTTCTTTATCTAAACACAACAACAATAATAACAATAATGGATATAGCGATAACGATAATAGCAATAATGGATATAACAATAACAACAATAATAATAATAATAATAATAATAATAATAATAATAATAATAATAATAATAATAATAATAATAATAATAATAATAATGGATTTAAGAGACAGTCTAATATGTTAAGAGTGGCAAGATCCATGCTTAAAGTTGACAAAAATAATGGAATTATTAATCATAATAGGAATTCAATGACCATCGGTGAAATGTTTCCGGAAATTATAGAAACTTTGAATTCATTAAAAAAATCAAGAAATAGTCATAATCTTACAATCGATGATCCAAATTTGGCATCACAAAAATGGGAAGAATTAATGAATAAAGGATCAAGTTTATTATCAGAAGAAGTATTAAAATTACTTCTCGCATTTGATGATCGAGAATTAAATCCCGATGCAACGAGAGCACAATCTAATAAAAAACTTATTAGTCATCACGAGAATGATAGTTATAATAATCTTAATCAAAATAATCAAACATCATCTAAGAGACAATCAACATTTAATCAATTTTTACAAGTAGATACAAATAATGATGAGAAAGCGAATTCACGATATAGTAATAATAGTACATTAGAAAGGAATGATTCAGGAGTATCAGGAGTTTCGACGAAAAGTCCATTAGTTTGGGATGATTTTGAAAAAGGAGGATTTTGTGAGGAAGTTGGACATCGATCAAATATACTTAGTTTATCTTCGACTTTAGGAGCTAGTTCAAATAAATCAACAATTAATAATAATTATAATAATAATAATAATAACAATGAACAATTAGCAGTTGAATCACCTGTGGAGATGATATTTCAAATTTTAAATGAGGATGACAATAAAGTAAATAAAGTAAATAATCAAGATGAATATAATAATAATGATAATGGTAATAACAATAATAATCAAGATTATCAAAATTATCAAAATATCAAATATCCAAAATATCAAAAATATCAAAATATTAATCATCAAAATTATCAAGTCAATCAACGTAAAGCCAATCTTAATCAAAATAATCAAGTCAATCATATATCACGCGATTTGACATTGAGTGTACCAGTAAAAACGAAAGGATCTCGTAATTTTTTATGTATTAAACGACGTCCAGGATCCGAAATCTCAATAAAACATAAAGGAGGGATCAACTATAAAAATATTATTAAACATAATAAAAAATATTTAAAAGAGTGGTATATTTTAGGTCAACAATATAAGTTATCACATCTAGCAATTGAATCTATTGGTAATTTATTCCCTTATGCCTGGATAGAATCAAGTGGAGAAGTTAAAGAAAGTTGGGGAGAATGGGTATTAATTGAACCAAGAGAAGATATGATGAATGAATGGAGCGAATGGATTATAATTGAAGATAAAGTTCAATTCTTTACAGAATTGGAGAAACGACCTAAAGCAGTTGAAGCATTAAAAAGAGCTAGTGTTAGAAATAGTAGTAGAAATAGCTTTTTTATTGCGAAAAGAATTAATAGTATTAATAATAACAACAAAAATAATTTGAGATTAATAAATAATAATAATAATAATAAGGCGTTGATTAAGTCATCAAATAGTCATCAAAATAGCTACTACAATAACAATAACAATAATAATATCAATGGATATAATAACAATAATAATAAAAATTATTATAATAACAATTATAATAATAATAAGAATTATTATAATAACAATTATAATAATAATAAGAATTATTATAATAACAATTATAATAATAATAATAAGATTGATTATAATAATAATAATAATAATAATAATAATCATAATCATAATAATAATCATAATAATAATAATAATAATAATAATAATGATGATGATTATAATGATTACAACGATAAAGATGAAATTAATCATCACCCAAAATCGAATTTAATAATTCAATCACCTCCATTATCTCCATTATCTCCATTATCTCAATTACCTCCATTATCTCCAAGTTCCATGATAACGCAAATCACCACAACAAGTGAAAATACCATTCATCATCATCAAAAATCGCGAAAAGTTGAATTTGCCACAAATGATATAATCAATGGAGTATTGACGAATCCCAGGCATAATAAACAATATTCAGAAATTTTTACTACAAAAGTTAGAACTACAGAAACTTCTTATACTTTTACTAAACCACAATCATCTTCAGCATCTTCACCTTCTTTGATACAAAATCATCCAACTGATTTATTATATATGTCAGAATACGATAATGAAATTACTGAAGAGAAACCTAATAATAATAATAATAACGATAATAATAATAATAATCAATTGATAAATAAATCACGTCATCATCATCATCAAACAAATAAAATAAATGAAATATGTGAATATGATAATCTAATGGTTCCGAAATTTATACCAAATCATTATTATAGCAAAAATTCTTATCATTCAATTAATTCACAAAGAAAATCTCAAGGTGGTGATAATGATGATGATTATCAACCATATGATATATATAATAATTATATTGATGAAGAAGATGATGACGGAAGTGACGATGTTTCTAGTAATGAAGAAGATGATGATGATGACGATGATGATAAAAGTAGTACATATTCTAATAAAGATGATTATAATGAAAAACGTGATTACAATAGAAACTTTGATAATGATATGATTAACGAAGAAAAAGAAAATTATTCATCATCATCATCATCATACAGATATGAAGATCACTATGGTAATTCTCCACCAACACGGAATAATCAACCTGCTGCATATTTTGATAATTTCTCTAGAAAAAATAATAACATCCACAACAACAACTATAACAAGAACAACAACTACAACAACTATAACAACAACTACAACAACTATAACAACAACAACAACAACTACATCAACAACAACAACATCAACATCAACAACAATAGAAATAATAATCAATTTCATCAAGAACAAATTCCAGATCAGGGTAATCCTGATAGTAGAGTAGTAGCTTATGCTAATAAAAATCGTAAAAATCGACAAGTAAATCGATCAAATAATTATAACATGCCTATTGACTTGGATCAAAGTAATTATCCCATGCCAATGACTGTAAATTATTCTTCTACACAACAACAAAAATTTTATAAACCATTAAATAAGAAGGAACAGAAAGAGAAAAAAAAGGGAAAATTTATTAAGATTTATTAATAGTGTGGTGAATATCTGAAATATCATTGGACAATATTTTAAATTTATTTGTTGACTGTGATTTTTTTATTTATTTTATTTATTTTTATTTATTTTTATTTATTTTTATTTATTTTTTATTTATTTATATTCATTTCTTTATCCATTTTTATCCATTTTTATTTATTTTCATGTATTTTTATATCCATTTTTATCCATTTTTATTTATTCATTGTAAATTATCAAAATAAAATAATAATAAATTGTATTTGTTTATTATTATTATTAGAAATTATATTAAATAAAATTTTCTGTTACTGAATTCTTTAGATAATTAACAATATTTTATTTTATTTATAAAAAATGATAATTTAGATACAGTACAGTAAACAATTATAAAACAATTGTGATACTTCGTATATACATAATATTTTATCAAAGTAATGTAAAAATAATATTGTTTATTGAGGGTAATTTGGATAATTTCCTTGCGTTTGTTGTTGTTGTTGCTGTTGTGGAAGAAAAGGTGGTGATGTTGAAGTTGTTCCAGGAGTTGGCATTGGCACAGGCATTGAAATATTAGAATATAGTGGTTGTTGCGTTGGTGATAATGGTGAAGTATAAGTAATTTCTGGAATGCCTCCATGTACCGGGGGAACAGATGGTGAGGCAGTAATTCCTCCATAAAATAGTTCGGAAGATGGTGTCACTATCGATTGAGTACTGCTACCTTGATGTCTAATTGCTGAAGGAGGTACACTATTTTCTCCTTCTCCTTTATTACTAACTAAATATGAAAATTCGGATTCATGTGATCGTCCAGAAATCGGAGATGAAAGATCCACTGTAGTCATTTGAGGTGAGGTAGATGGTGGTGGTTTATTGTTCTCATTATCATACTTTTTATCTGGAAGTTTTAATTGTGGATGTAATCGATTACTGTTCCAATTCTTCCAAAGTATAGCACCTAAACCTATTAAAAATATAATTCCAATGACTACACCCATAAGAATCCCGGCTGCTGCGCTTGTCGTTGAACTGCTGCCGTTATAATTTGTTGTAATTAAAATATAAATAAATTAAATAAAAATATAAAAATAAATATATTTAAAACAGAAAATAGAAAATATTATTTGATTTTTGCGAACCTTTTCTTATCAAAGCCTACTCCAGCTTCTGTACATAACTCCTTATAATCTGATAAAGGCACAACACTAACGTTGGTAGCAGTTGATGTATTATTATAACATGTAATACATGTCGTAAGATTATCATAGAAAATTTGATTACATTGACAAGATGCTAAATTAGAATCTACCGAAAATACATATAAATTATTTCATCAAAATCGTATCGTAATTGAATTAAAAATAAAAGATTTCTTTTTGTTTTTAATCTTTACCAATTACACTATAAACAACCGAATTATTCGAAGGTGTTGTAAAAGTTCCATTACATGATGCTAATGTATCGTTTAAAGATTCACAAGCACTATCTGTATTACAAGTCGAATTCTGACTAAAAACTCTTGAACTTTCAACAAATATCAAAAATATTAAAATATAAAGCTTGTATAATTCCATCTTTGATGTGGTGTTTTTTAAATGAAAATATTATATAAACATTTAAAAAACAGTTATTGACATTTAATTTTTAATAATAATTAAATTTTAATTATCATAGAATTAAATATATATATATATATATGTTGAATAAAAATCAAAGAATTAGGAAATTCAAGATTCCAAAACATATAAAAGATAACATTGTGGCTTACATGGAAAAATCAGCGCTTTAAATTTTTATTAATCATTATTTCATGAAAAAAAAAAACCAAGCAAAAAAATTGCAAAATGTAAAATGCAAAATTTAACGATTTCATTACAATATATACGCACAATATATTCACAATATACAGGATATATTCGCGAATATAAAAAGTCTGTCTATATCAGGTTATAATTAATCTGACAAGTCTTAGAAAAGAATATAATTCATTCAAAAACCCGATATGATTGAAATGATCTAATCATCAATCGGGTTTCTTTTTTTGGGAGGCTTAGAATTCCCCATCTTTATATATTTAAAATATTTAAAATATTTAAAATGTCATTTAGATTTTCCGTTTAAAGAAAGAGGTTTCACACCCGGAAATAAACTAAAGAGGTAATATTTGTTTTACTTATTAATCATTCAATAAAGATATTTAACATATTGTGTAATATTTTATAACCAGTTACACGGTCAAAGTGAAATTAGTTTATTCTCCATCATCTCCATTGTCAAAAATCAGTTGTGAAAATAAAAAGGTAATACAAAGAAAAAAGTAGTACATGTCATATCATGTTACAACTAATATTTGTCACCTGTCCGTTCGTCGTGAATAAGTGTTAGGTGAGGTAATACTATTGTTTTTATAATCGAGTTTTATTCAGGTCAAGAATTGGAACTCTAATATTTGAGATTTCAGGTTATTCCTGGATTTTTTTTTCTTTAGCGACAGTGTTGTGTTGTATTGTACTATATATTGTCCTCTGGATATATATTACATTTGTTTTTAATATAGGCAAGAAGGACTTTTGTAATACTTTTCGGAAATTAATGGCGTTATTAGAATGAGGTCACCGCATGATAAATACTTGTTTTTTTTTTTTTGTTTTTTAAGGAATATTAATACTCGTATGGAAATATAGACTAATATTGAAAATGCTAATAATGACACGTAGACAGCATGAGGTAAAGTCACCATTATGTAAGTCTTTCGTTTGTGTTTTCATCCAAATTGCTTGCCAGGTGTCCAAATTTTGTTGAGTAAGTTCTTTTGCAAGAAAAGTTTTATCATGATTTATAAAACTCATTTAATGACTATATTCTTTTTAGTAATTTCCTTGATGAATGAACTTAATGAGATATCAATAGAATTGGGTCCTTTTGACAAAATGCAGTTGTAGTGATACTAACAATGTCATTGCAATAGAATTAGATTGGATCATAAAAATAATGCTCTAGAATTCTGCCTTCAATGCAATTACCAGCTGATCTATTTTTCATTATAAGGTCTAGATTGTTGTCTGCTTGGAAAGCAGTTTAAAAGTAAGGATAATAGAACAAATGGTGGTGAATCAAAGAAAAAGTTAATGAACATAACTTTGTATTTAAGAAATATGATAATAAATGTGATGATAATTATTAATAAAACTAATAGCAATAACTCAAAATAATATAAAATTTGCAAATTTTTATCCCAACAATTGTCTTGAGATTTTTTAAATTTTAACTATTTTCAAAACTTCATATAAAATGATTTTTTTCCGTTGAGCTATTGTCTCTAATTATAAAGATTCCTTTTTCGAACAATTTTTCTTTATTTCTATTTCCTTCACAAATAAATCCTTTCTACCTGGATTTAATCTGATAATTATCCTAATGAAAAGTCATTCACATTCATTTACTTCATTGTACTCTACAAATATTCTCTATAAAAAAACAAAGTGACGATTATTTGTTGCAACTTTTTAATATAAAATATCATTCTTCAAAAAAAAAATTTTATGAATAATCTTCAATAATGATATTGGGTATGTGGTAAAATATTAAATAATCATAACTCGTGATCTTTTGGCATTAACTTTTAACATTTACTTGGTAAATATTTTTAATAAAAGCATTAAGAATTCTTTCAAATGAAGTTTAATATTGGATTTGTGGAGTGACATTACTTATTTAAGCGTTACTTAACAACTTACTTTTAGGACCTCTTTGTTTGATTTTTTTTTCATTATTATGAAGTGGATTATTTATTAAAGAAATTTTTTTTTTTGATTTGTTATTATTTTTGAGACAAAGATTAATAAATTCTATTATTTCGTTTCTCGCGAACGTAGCGCAGATCACGTCAATCCTCGAAGTCAAGTCTTACTTTTAATATATAATCTCTTCTATCCGTCAATTACCTTCTACTCTACCTATCTATCTCATAGCATTATCCCTAAAAACTCGAATCTACGATAGCAACCTCAGTAATAAAAATATTATAAATTAAATTAATTGATAAGAATAACTCAAGAATATAGTATATCTGTCCCTCTAATATTAAAGTTGGATTTTTTTTTTTCTAATACAAATACACTTAACTACTTTTCTTTTCTTAGGAATCAAGTTTTTGGTTATTTTTTAATTTAAAATTTTGTTTATTGTTTCACAGAATTATATGAATTGTTTTATTAACACACGGAATTTCTAAAAAAAACGGGCAAGTGTTTTGAAAGCGCATTCACGCTAAAAACGTGACTCCACCGAAACATGATTATTTCTTGTGACGTAACGTATAACACAAGAAACACAAGATGTCTTATATATTATCTGGATATTACAAATATTAAATAAAATTTTTTTTTTTTTACTTCGACGCGCTATTTACTGCTATAATATAACTGCTATTACTACAGCTTAAGCAACTAACAATAACTATAATATTATTGGTAAATATAAAATAATTTAGATTTATGGATCAAATATATTAATTAATTATTTATTTATTATTATTATTTTTTTTCTTTGAATAAGATAAAAGATAAATATGTCTTCTTCATCTCCTATAACAACTGCTCTTAACTTGATTGAAGTTCTTGAAAAGATAATTTATCATATTTCAAATGATAAGAATAATTTAAGTACTCAACATTCCGCGTTACTAGTAAATCGTAAGTGGTGTCGAATCACCACAAAATTTATATGGAGTGCGCCTTTTTCTTATGAGATTTTTCCAAAGCGACTTTGTAAAATTATTCCAATTTATATGTCATTTTTACCTCCGAACGTGATTGAATATTTGAAGAAAAATGAAGTTGTATTAAATGATAACAACAATAACAATAACAACAACAATAATAATAACAACAACAATAATAATAAAAATAATAATAAAAATAAAAATGATAATAATAATAATAATAATAATAATAATAATAATAATAATAATAATAATAATAATAATAATAATAATAATAA